CACTACCACACTTTGCCTACATCCAACGCTTACATCTACACTCATACTCAGACCCTACGGAAACCTGAAATCCACTTCACATCCACCCACTATCCACATTCACATTCCTATCCCATCTATACCCAAACTCACGCTTTCTTGTTAAGATTTGAGTGCGAGTGAATAAAAGTGAACTCATAAAAATGGTATTTGATTCTTTTGTGTAAAATTGATTGGAGAAAATGAGTTAGAGTGCGGTCTCTTGAATGGACAATTTTATACTCTATATATTGATAGTGTCTTCGGACGAAACGACGGTCAAAGTGGGTAAGATTGATGGAGAATGTATTTCACTAATACTCCATATTCTAGCAGATTTCTTTGCAATTGTTTTCCTTACATTATAGAGTAGGGATGTACCGAGCTCGACCTATCCAGGTTCGGTCATTCCCAGGATCGATCGTTCCTGGGTCCGGTTGTTCCCGGGTTTAGTCATTCATATTATTGTTATAACAATCTTCTATTATATGAAGCTACCCTTGGTCTTCATCTCCTATTGTATGAAGGTACTCTTGAGTCCTCAAGGCCTATATTATGGGGGTACTCTTAGACCCCTAAGTCCTATATTAAGAGGGTACCCTTAGGTTCTCAAGTCCTATATTATGGCGGTACCCTTAGGTGCCCAAGTCCTATATTAGCACGTTACTCTTAGACTCTGAAGGTCTATATTACGGGGATACCCTTAGGCCCTCTTGTGCTATATTATGAAAATCAATTACAACGCCGTAACGGAGTATATTAAGGCACACGCAAGGGTAAAATGCGTCAACCTAGCTTCTGTGATAGAGAAAGAGGTAGCTACATGCTAGAAGACTTTGTAGAGTCAATGGACCTAGCGGATCGCCTCAATCCACGTTACTTGTTTTTTAATTAACACTCAATTCAGTTAATATTAGGCTTAAGCGATTCCGTTAAGTATACAACAATGGAAAAAAAACATGCTCAAACCTAATTGGCTGAAAGTCTTTTTTTTCCAGCAAATCAGATCGCAGGAAGAGACTTCTCCACTATTGTAAGGACGAAATATGACGTCGCTCAGACTATATAAAACAGCACCTCTGATAAAAACCAAGTTTGTCTCAAACAATACTATTTTTCGTCCGTACCATAGCAGAGAAAAAGCGTACTAAAATCTGATTAGTTAATTAGAGAAAAATTCTAGCCACTCAGGTTTGAGCACCATTTTTCGCTCTTATTTCTAAGGATAAACGATAGTGTTGTTAAAGTCAAAGTTGGGGTTATCAGGGGCGCTCTTTCATATGACCCAAGCACACGATATTTAATCTGTATTGGCGTAGATAAAACACCCCAATTACATAACACAATCACTTGA